AGGAGGATGAGGAAGAAGAAGAAGAAGAAGAAGAAGAAGAAGAAGAAGAAGAAGAAGAAGAAGAAGAAGAAGAAGAAGAAAAAGAAGAAGAGAGCATCTTCACTATTCCAGCAGTGTGTGATAAGACTGGTCAGTCCCAGCCAGGCATGGTGGTGCATGCCTTTAATCCCAGCATTCCAGAGGCAGAGGCAGGCAGATCTCTGTGAGTTTGAGGCCATAGTGAATCCAGGCCAGCTATGGCTATAGGGAGATCCTGTCTCAACACCCCCCCCCCAAAAAAAAGGAAAAGACTGATCACTCCCTGCTTCCTGAAACATCTCCCTACCAACTTCCTCCTTTTCCTGGTGTTGCTCTACTCTGCTAACTCCTTTTCTCCTTAACTTCTCTTGGTTCTCTCTTCCAGCTACTCTAGAAGGTGGCTAGGTGATTCTATGTAGACCTGAGGCTTAAAGTCATCTATGCACTAATAGATCCCAAATTTAGATCTCAGGGTTCATAATCAACTGTCTCCTCAACATTTCCACTTGGATGTATAACGGGCAAAACAGAACTCTTCATTTCTCTCATTCCATATTTGCTCCCCCCTGTTGTCTCTGTCTCATTAAAGGGTACCACCATTAGCCCTGCCAGTAGGTCCTGAACCTAAGAATCATTCATGCTTTTTGTTCCTCCACTCACTAGAACATGGGTGCAGGTGCAGGGGAATGTGAAAGTACATCTGGTGATGGCATTCTCAGGCCACTCAAGTGCAAACTCAGCCCAATTAAAATGTATCTAAGAAAACCAAAATAAAGAAAATACAAAATAACTCTTTCTCACCCGGCACTCTACTGCCATTTTTGTCAAAACTGACATGAATAGCCATCTTACTGGATTCCCCGTGGGAGTTTGTGCTTCTGCTGCGTACACACAGAGCAAGATGAGGGGTTTCACTCCAGTTTCCTGACAGACCTGGAACTCACTATGTAGCTCAGGATAGCCTCAAACTCAGGGCAATCCTCCCGCCTCAGCCTTCCAAATGCCGAGATTACAGGGGTGAGCCACCACACCCTGTTTAATTGTAACTTTCAAAAGCATGAATCAGATATAGTCATTCCTGGGTCCACCCTCCTCTTGGGGTTTCCTGTTGCTCTTACAATGGCCCACAGGCTCCACAGGGTCTGGCCACTTGCCCACGTCTTGGGGCCTCTGGCCGCAGACTGCTCTCTCAGTCTTGCGGCTGTTCCTGCAATGTGGCAGGTACATCCCGGCTTCTGAGTTTGTGGCTGATTTCCTCTCAGTCTGGGAAGGCTGTTCCTCTCATCCACCCTTGGATTTACTAGGCTTGTTCCTCATAGCATGCGTTAATGTGCACAAAGTTCTCCCTGGTGACCTACAATTTTTGTCATTTGTTTATTGTTTGTGCTCCCTCTCCCAGTCCCTGAGAATGAAAGCTCCATGAGTGCATTTGTTTGCGTATGGCTTCATCCCTGTGCCTAGACCGCGGTCAAGCAACATAACAAGTGCTCAGTTAGTAACCGTTAAATGGTTGCATCTCCTCCACATTTTCTTCCTTCTAAGTTTTCTTCCCTCCCTCATTTCATTTATGGCCTTACCCACCTCCCCCAAGCCTGCTCTCCTCAAAGGCAAAGACCCAGCTCCCATCCGCCCTGGATTTCCTTAGTCCCCACCCTCGGCGAGCGGCTCCTTTAAGGCGACACCAGAACGCCGCAGGGGGGCGGGGAGAAGCCTGGTGGACAAGGACTTGGAGGGGCAGGTCCGGGGGCGGGGCCTGCGTGCTGCGTGCGTGCGCGTTCCGGAGGCGCCGCCGCCGCTCCTGAGGCCGAGGCCGCCGCAGCCGCCGCTGTCGCGCAGAGCCGGAGTCGGAGCCACGGCCGAGAGGAGGGAGGAGGCGGTGGAGGAGGTGGAGGAGGCGCCGGCCCCGGTGAGTGCGGGGCGGGCGCGGCGGCGGGGCGCAGCGGGGAG